CAATAATAGTGTTAACTGAAATTGAATCATTTGGTTCAATAACCATTTACCTATATGCTTTACTATTTTGTGCATATCCTATAAATATGCATTCATTCCTCTTTCACCCAACTTTTTTCTTTTGGGTTATAGAATTTTAACTATAGCTCTACATCCCCAAACCTTTCGATAATTTAATGTTTGGTTTTCTTTTCTTCTATTGCTCATATTGGGTTATTTTTATTTCTTTGTTAGGAATTTTATTTGGTATATGACAAGTTGTTAATAAAGCTTCACCCTAAAACCTTTGTCCAAGACCAGAGTATGATAACATTGCATTGATCATTTCTGTGAAGACTATTTTTCTTTAAGTTAGACCATTCTGTTGTGGTATATAAGGAGTAGTAATTTGGTGGATTATTCCGATGGATTCAAAGTAACTTGAACTATAATACTTTCCTCCCCTATCCAACTTCAAGCACTTGATAAAAAATTCACACCAAAGTTCAAATTCAAATTTATATATATTTTAAACTTATTAAGTACTTTATTTTTGGAATATAACAGATAAATATAACAATATCTAGTATAATCTTCTATAAATGTGATAAAATATTTTTTTTCAGAAAATGTAAAGTGCTATGCATATAACAAACATCACTGTGAATTAACTCAAGTAACTTTGTATTTCTTTTAACCTTAAAAAAGTGATTTCTAGTAATCTTAGTTAACATGTATGTATTACATTTATTAATATCTTAACTAAATTCAGGAATTAACAAAAGTTTACTCATATCATGCAATTTTTTGTAATTTAAATGACCTAATCTATAATTCCATAAATATGAAAATTCAATCATGTAAGCAAAAACATTTTTATTTTTGTTAATAATATTGAGTTTGAACATTCCCTCATACATATAACCTTTCCCAACAAAAATCCATCCCTTAGACAAAATAAATTTATCTTCCTCAAATACAAGTTTAAAACCAAACTTGTTTAATAGACTTTCAGACACTAAGTTCTTCCTAACTTCTGGTACATAATAAACATCATTCAAAGTTAGAGTTTTTTCAGAAGTGAATTCAAGGTTAATAGTCCATTTGCCTTTGATTGTTGTTGTAGAAGAAGTTATCATGTAGAGGACATTACCATATTCACTTGGTTTGAATGTTATGAGCATGCTTTTGTCCTTGTACACATGTTTTGTTACCCTAGAATCAACCTACCAAGATTCATCATTTTCAAGCATGCTGATTTTGGAAATCATGGCAACAAATTTTTCAAAAGTATCCCTTTTTGATGAATCATTTTTTTTCTGTAGCAACCAACACTCTTTCTTATTCTTATCTTAGCTTACCACAATGGTAACATGAGCCTTTCTTATTCTTCTTGAATTTAGGCCTATTACCAATCTGCTTGAACTTAAATTTTCTTTTGTCAGGCTTTGTAATCTATCTTTCTTCCAAAACATGAACTTTGGCATCACCAGAATCAAAATTTTGTTCTTACTTTCTGTTTTCTTCTTCAATTCGAAGATGATTAGCCAAAGACTCAAGAGTGATTTTCTTTTTTTTATGTTTCAGACTTCTTTTAAAGTCTTTCCATGATAGAGGAAGTTTGCTTATTATAAAAGATATAATAATTGTTTCATCCATACTCATATTATATTGTTTAAAGTTATCAAACATTCTTTCAATTTCACACAGTTATTTAATCACAGAATGTCCATCAACTATACGATAATTATTAAAATGACTAACAAGAAATTTCTTACTTGTTGCATCCTCGGTCATATATCTAGTCTCCAATTTGTCCCATAACTCCTTTGCAGTAACTTTGTTTTGGTATATATCAAACAAGCTATCAAATAGACCATTCAGAATATGAAATTTACACATGTAATCTACATTATCCTATTTTTGCCTCTCTCTTATTGTAACAATAGATTCTTCTATTTCATTTTCTTCTAGCTTGGGAATAGTCAAAACATATACAACCTTCAAGGTTGAAAGCAGGAAATGCATCTTTATCTACCATCTTCGAAAATTGCTACCATCAAAACAATCCAATTTGACAAAAATAGAAGCCCATTCTTTGAGCATTGCTTTAATAGCCATTATTGAACTGAATAAAACCCTAAGATTATTAGAGTAAACACTAAAAACTAGAATTACTGCTTCTGTTAAATTTGGAATTTTAAGGAAATGCTCCAAGGCATGTATCGGTGCCACTTTCCTTAAGGTTTTATTTGTCCCCACCGTATTATTAACTTAGTAGGTATATAAAAAGGTTGCAGACAATAAACCTTGAGGATATAATGAAACCCAGTGACTAACTACGTTTTGCACTAACAAAATTAATCCATCGAGCAATCACCAGCTTATCACAAGATTACTTAACTTTTATAAAGGTTTTTTTCGACAAAACTTTTATTTAAAAAAAAAATTGAAGTTTTAAGAAAGACAAAGAGTTTTAAGAATTATTTATGTATGTTTTTAAAAAACCAAATGGGCTTTATGTAAACGGATAAGTTCCATTTCCTTACATATATGACTACCTATTTTAAATAGATAAAAATTGTATGTTTTTTAATAGTTAAAACTGTTCATTTTAAACAAATTTATCTTTCTATTTTGAATATACTTAACTATCTATTTTTATTTTTTTTTTCTTATTTTTTATATTTTATTTTAAAAATTTCTAACAATTTAGTCTCTTCATGATTGGCGTTTGGGCAACATGGACTGACAGGAGCAGGGAAATTCATGAGGAAGGGCGAAGAGAGGCAACGATGACCGCTTTTTTTTGCTACCACTTATTTACATGACGATGTACAGGCACAGGAGTAGCGAACAAATAGGGAGGATCAAACTCACTATAAATGGCAACCACCTGGCAGGGGTCAATTCAAAGTGACGGTGCGGTACTTGGTGGAATAGGAGTTGAGGCCAGGGATGAAGCAGGCCAATTTAGGGGAGCCTGTACAGAAATTGTGCAATGGACGTCTGATGCTTTCTGTGTGGAGGCCATGGCAGCAGCTAGGGGCTTAGCGTTTGCAAAAGAAATGGGATTCACGAATATTGCTCTGAAGAGGATGCTCTGACCATTGTGAAGAAACTGAATTATCCTAACAATGATCTATCACCCATAGCCACAATAATAGAGGAAGTTAAAGTCTTGACAGCAGAATTCTCTTCTTGCAGTGTTATTCACGTGAGAAAAACTGGCAATGAGGTAGCACACACATTAGCAAAGCATGCTAAATTGAATAAAAATTGAATGTCCCGAGGTCATCCACAATTGTGTAATCTGGGATACTGGTTCTGCTCATAATTGAATGAAAAAGGTTTCTTTCTCAAAAAAAAAAAAATTATAAGAGACATGATTGCAAGAAAGAAAGTTAACATATATTACGTTTCTACACATAAGATGATAGCATTTCTATTTATTAAACCCATAGAAGATGTTGAGTAGCGGGTCCGCCCATAATGGATGGAACCCAACATGCTAAACTATTATTTGCAAAAAAAAAGGCCAAACAATTACCAGAGGCAGTTTTCATTTTGAATTCAATTGATAACTGCCTTGGGCAATTGTCTGTTTATTGGTTTCAATTCAAACATGAAAAGCCACGTCTCCCTTCCTTACTCCTATATAAATGGCATTCGGCCATAATGTAGTGAAAGAAGAAAATAGAACAAAAGTAATAAAAAAAAGAAGATATGCAGAGAAAAAAGAAACTCTTCAAGAACTCTTTGCAATTCGAATAGATTTACAATGATAACGATTAATTTTTAATTTGTGATTTTATTGTTGATTAGTGTGAATCAAGCAGCCAAACTTCCCTAAAAGTGTTTAAATTCCGTTATTGTTTATTGATTATATTGTTAATGACCACATGAAGAGAGTTTTTTTTTTTTTTTTTTTTTGGTGTTAGTGAGTCCTAGGCATGCAACAACATCTACCATAAAAAAGGACTCCACCCAAAAATGACGAAGGAAAGGACAGATTCTCTTGCTAATTCGATGGTTTCACATCTCATCTTCCTTTTGTCAAATCCCAAGTCTTCCAAATTTAGATCGAAAAGAAAATATGATTAAAAAGAATCCTCCTTGGTGTCTGCGGCAGTCAGTGAAAGGAAGCAGCATTGTTTGGAAAGTGATACTGCGTAGCAACAACATTCGACCGAAATCACTCACTGGAACGTGTTACCTCCCTCCTAAGATTAGCATCGGGGCGGGTTTAAGACGAATTTTGCTCGTCTTGAATCTGATCTAATTTTATATGTTATTAAATTCGAATTTAATTTTATTCAAAATTTTTTTTTTTTTTTATGTCCGATTCGATACTATATAAATCGTATTCGATCCGATCTGAAATTAATAAAATATTATTTTTTAAATATAAATATTTGAAATATCATTATATAAATATATATAAATAAAAAATTAAATAATTAATTAAAAAATAATTTTTTATATAATATTGGATCGAATAAAATTTACCTAAAATCCGAACTTGATCCAACTCTGATTGTTTCTCAATCTTATTCGATCCGATTCGAAATTTAAATTTAAAAAATACAAAAATCGATCTCATAATGTCTAGTCGAAACCGGGATGAATTAGATTGCCGACCTACTCCCTCCTATATATTTTAAACATCAATTTATAAAACCAATCCAACTGTTTAAACATTAACCTTTTCGTTTTTCACAAAGCGGGTTTTGCTCCATAATTAAATTGATCTCAGTTAACATTTAGTAGTCGACCAACATTCTCGCTCCTTGGGATTCCCTTCTTGCTAAGTTGCTTTTCAAATTGACTCCTTTCATTAAAAAAAATAAAAACACCTACTTATACAAATCTCGGTTTGAAGCAATCTTGTTTTAAGAGTCCCAAAAGGCATCTCCCTTTTAAATTATTAGTTTCCATCACACGAGGCAGGTGCAAAATGCCCTCTGTTTTGGTAAAAACACTTACTAATATGCTTTTACTTACCAATTACTACCCTAAACAAAGTGATGAAGGCAAATTCAAGGAATAGTGGTAAATGGCATGAAGAAATGGCACAGGTTAACTATATTATATAAAGCTGCTCCGCGTCCTCGACCTCGAAAGCTGCATAATGTCAAACAAATCTGAAAACGAGCTGAAATTTACAGTGGGCAAAAAAGACAAAAACGACCCTGCATTAGCCCGTTTCTGATTGTCTGCTAGCTCTAAAAGCTTCACGTGAATCCCCGACAGTCTCAGAGGACGGCGAAGTTTAGTAAGAGGCAATTGGCAAAACCAATATGCCACTTCCGACGCTATCCAAAAAGTGAAACCAAAATGATAAGGGACAAAACCGGGTACATAAAAGTTCCCCGCGAGGGTGGTGGCGGTGCAGGCGACTGGGCCTTCTCGAACTGCAGAGAATCAACGGCTAAGGGCATGTTCTCTTGATCTGGGCTGCACTTGGACTCGTGAGGGTGCGCACTGTACATTAAGGCCCGCAGTACGGCTGAAACGGTGGGTATGTACGCCGTTTTGTTGCGTGCAAGGAGCCATGTCAGCCCCATAAGTTGGCAGTCTCGGTTGAACATCTTGCTGGCTCTCTCGCTCGTGCCCCTGTCTTCTGTTCCGTTCTTGTCGTATCCACCTTTAAGCTGTAATTACCAACCAAAAATAACGAGTGTTTTAGGGATTTGATCTAAAAGTAAGCACTCAGCGGTACAGCACCGCAGCAGAGAGTTGGTGCATGAAAGGGGAAAGGTAATGAGGAAGGAAATCTTGGTGAAAGGTCTAATTGTTTGCACTGTAAAAGGATATATAACCTCATTGATGCACATGACAATGTCACTTTCTTGGGTCTACCAGAATGACTTTGGTTCCTTTCATAAAATGGCAAAAAGAAGACCCTTCTCCGCCTAAAAGGTGAGTCCAATTTCAAACTACTACTATTCGACAATCACCAATTCACATACCATTCACAAACACACACCAAAACCAACTAACATTTGCCGATGGCCTCCACATTTCCTAAACTTTAAAGTTTTGGGTTATAAAAAGTCATTGCGAAGTAGAAATTTTTGTAACGCATTTTATTAATTAACAATAGAAATCTAAAAGTGGTAACTGCAAGAACAATTACATTCTCATGACCCAAAAACGAGTTTTAAGGCAACATTCATAGAAAAAGATGAAAAGACTTAGAGCTAGAATTAATGCATTCCCATGTACTGGTGGTCTGATCCATTAACTACCCAAAACATGGACACATAAAAGGAAACAACTTTCATTAGTTACTAACCTTTTGAAGAGCACCAAGGCATTTTGTACACCCAGCATAAGAAGAGTTCCTGCAATTCCTCTCCAAATTCTTTATGGCAGCAGTCGGTGTCGCGTTTCGGAACCCGGAAACATTAAACGCAGCAGGGCAACTCAAGGAGCTAATCTGATGTAGCCTTATCCCACAAAAACATAGAATTGCATCGCAACTCGCATTTGGCTGAGGAATCGTCACGCGCTTGCTTAACAATGCATTTTGCAACGAGTTCACGCAATTCTGCAAATCATCTGGCCTCATGGGCTGTTCTGGCTGCTCCGATTCCGCCGGAGCCGGAGTCGAGACCTCCAAAGCATACCTGGCGTGAGCAGCAAAGAGCCAAGCAGCTAACACGGGACAGCAGCGGCTCCTGTCCAGGTTGCGGCCGCAGGCGTCGCTGACGCCGCCGAATAGCTCGGCTGACAGGTCGAGCAGGCAAAGTTGAGCTTGGGTTTGAACTGGAAATGCGGGGACCGTGTTTGGGGACGAGTAGTCTCCAGGTTTTAACGGCTGATCGTGACCTGAGACCGGTTGAGCAAGAAAACTGGCGAGAGAGTGATGGATGATAGAGAAAGAAAATAAAACCACTATTATTAACGTCGAAACGAGGGAAAAGGGAACCATGTTTTTAACCGGGTTTGTACGTTGATGATGAGGTATTTTTGCAAGGAAAGAGAAGGAGAAATCAAAAGATTGCTTGGGAGTGGGGGAATTGGAGTTAGAGGGTAAAAGCTAAGGAGACGACTTTGAATCTGCTTCTATAATAATCGTTTCTTTTAACCTTAGAGAGGGAAAAGGGGAAGAGATTCAGGAGATATTCAAAAGGTCGCAGTAGCAAAGGTGGTGGTGCTTTGTGCCTGTTTGAGAGCTAACATTTGAGACTAAAAGGCTGTAAGCAGGCCATTGGAAAACTATAAGCAGTCACGCTATATTACTACTATAGCAAACGAAAAAGTGAGAGAGATTATTATTAGTATTATTATTTTTGAACAAGATCTCTTCTCTCTCTTTTTTTAGTGTTGAATCAGAAACAAAAGTAATCATTCGTTAATTTATATTACTACTACGTTCTTATTTTAATAATGATAACTCTCATTGTAATAGTGTAAAGCTTTCAATAGAAAGCGAGAAAAAGAGATGGGTCCATTGAGAAACAAAAGAGACTCATTTGGTTGTAGGCTTATAAGAGAGAATGAGATTGGCGCTCGTAAAAAAAGGCTGTCTGTCTGATTATTTAGCAGCTGCCTTGTGTCCTTTCCCTTCTCATTCTCTATCTTCTTCTGGCCAGCAGCATGGAAGTATATGATACTATTTGATATACAAATATCAAAGTAAAGTTTGAGATAATTCAATAATTTTCTAAGCGTTTTAACTCTTTTACTTGCAAAAGTGAGTTTCTAATTAAAATTCTATGCTATTTTATTAGTGCATCTCTCACCCTATTTATTTGTATCAAACTTCAACATGAGGGTATTTTTGTAAATGTAAAAAGGAAGGACGATTAAAGGTAAAAACAAGGGTATTTCCTGTGTTTGCATTTTGAAATGTAAGTCAATAAGAATCAGGTCAAAAAAGAAGTGAGAAAGTATAAAGGAGAGAAAGAAATGAATTATATGAACCTAGCTTCATGGTACCTAAGTATTCATATTTATAGTTATGTTGAGGAGGACAAAAGGGACAATTAAGATAAGGTTGAGTTGAGGTGGCATTAGAGCTGTAAAATCGACCTAACATGTCACATCGACACAAATAACTAAGATACTCTTAGTTGTCTACTAAAGACTTTAAAAGGGAAAAAGGTCACTATATCTTTTTGATCATTAGATACCCCTAACACTCTGTCCCTCCATCAAGCAATCTGAGTATCAGATCATCAAATTTATTATCGATGTCCTCGGTGTAAGGCATGTGGCTGCATATTTTGTTAGAGGTTGACATTGTAGAGGAAGTCAATTTTGGACAATGACTAGCTTTGAATCGCAGTCCAACTTGACGGTTATTTGATCTCGTACGTGTGTTCCAAATGAGTGCATACTCAATTTAAAGGTTGTCGAGGTAATAATTATTTAGGGTAATTCGAGATTACTACTGGAGTTCATTTGGCCGTGATGATACTAGTATTTTCTTTTAAAATTTTGGACTTTAGCCTTTATTTTGAACCTTAAAAGTGAACCAAGCTCTCGATTTACCCCTAACAGTTGTCTGATTTGGTCAGTCGAATTTGGGGTTCGTTCGGTTAGATCGGTCTGATAGCATTAAATAAAGAAAAAATGGTTTAAGTAGGGATTTTTAAAGCAGAAAGATGAAAAGATGTCTATCTGCCTGTGGTTTGACATGTGGCACAAATCGTGCCATCCCTTTGGGCTGAAGTGCATCTATATAAAAGGGCTAGTAAGGCTTCAGCTTTTCATTTTTCACATATTTTACTCTTAATTCGACTTAAAATTTTTTATCCCAACAATTTTCTTGCCTTTAAAATTTTTTTTACACATGTTTTGGTATATATTTCTAACCATGTCTTCTAGTGTGAATTCTAGAGGGGCTGAAAGCTATAAGGTATAGCCAAAATGGGGTCAGTAAGAGCAGTAGGATGATGACCTGATTTCCTTTGTTATTAGAGGCTGTAACTATACAAAGTTGGACTATTGGTTCAATCCGATGTCTGAGGCAGGGTAACAGCATAATGAAGAGAATGCTCGAGCAAGAAGCGAGCAGTTTTGAGCACTGAAGAACTATGTACTTAGATTAACTTTAGATTTTAAAATCCACCTGCTTTCCCTATCTTTCAGGTCAGTCCATCTTCTATAATCGACTTTCTTTTCTCTTTGGGTATTTATCCTTTTGAGGTTCAATCTCTTCCACCTCTTGCCACTTTTACTCTTTCCTCTTAATTAGTTTTTTTTAACATCTTGTCCTCTCTTGAGAGGTCTTCACATCATCCTTCTTTCTTCTAGATCAAGCTATTTTCATCCCTTACTCTTTCTCGAGATCTATTTCCCACCTAAGAGTCAGATTTTTCTAATAAGGAGATTTTAAAGAGGAATAAAAAGAAGAAAGTACCTCGATTGGAGAAAGTGACAATGAGGGGAAGAGTCCTATAAAGTAGGATGAACTTGTCAAGGTCTTTTTATGTACTTTATATGATCTCGACGTGATTCTCAAGGACATGATGAGTGAGCTAAAAGGAAGAGCAAATCTAGAAGATTATCCTAACATGTGCTCAGCTCATCACGTTCAAACTCTGGGTACCACTTTTTTTTCCCAAAAAAAGGTACAATATAATAATATCAAACTCCTTAAATTGGGTCACTGATAGACCAAAGCCACATCAGCTCTACGTATATTAAAACTCATTTATGGTCGGTCTAAGGTTTTTTTTTCATCTTTTATTCGTTTCAATTTTTAATTTTTATAATTTGATCATCACTTAGATTACCCTAAATTTTGTTTGGTATATAGTCTCTTTTATTATTTTTTTGTAAACAGTTAAATATTATTCTTTCTCTTTCTTTAAGAGTTTTTCTCTTTTAAAAAACATCATAGTGATAGTAGGTAGTTTTATACTATAGCTCGACCAAATAAAAAGACTCCCGTTGATTCTCAAGTTTAATAAAAAATTAAAAGCTACTCTACCTCTACCTTGAGAAATAAAATGCCAATAAAAATGATGAGCCCGAGGTTGAGGCTTGAGAAATAAAAAGTACATTCAACTCCTTTGTGGATGCACTAGTGGCCCTCTCCATCCTTGATTTGTTATATCAGGATAAAATTTTAGATTTCACATGTAGGGGGAGCTTATTATTAATGCTCACGAGCTAACTCCCTCAGAAGTAGTAAATAGGATAAAGTATTAGGGTAGGTTTGAGGTAACTTTATAGATTTTTGTTTTGAATTAATTTTTCATCTAATTGTTAGCTCGATTTTGTAGATATGGCTAAAGCCAAAGAAGACTTCAATGTCTCTCTATATCAACATACCCTGAGGCTCAAAAGGAGAAAAAAATCAGCTTAGGGCCCTATTGCATGGGGGAGATAAAGTAATCAATACAACTATACATTGCACTCCCCCAGGTCAGAAGTCTAAAGTTATGGTAGATCAGGACCTATTTTCCACCTCGACATTGATACCACCTCATCTAGCCAAAAGGCCACGGATGGAAATCTTGTCTTTTATTCTTAAAAACCCTAAAGCTAGGTTGCTAAGGCCTAGCTCGCAAAAGATATCTATGGGGTTGGAGTTTACTTTAATGGATGACTTCGTCTCCAACCTTGATGTTGCCAGAAGGTTCTACATGGTCGTGATTCTTTCTCTTGATGAATATCTCCTAACCTCAGCTTGGTTTCTTAGTATTATTTTTATTATTATTATTTTAAATCTAAGTTCTCTTCATGTAGTCTAAAAAAAGTTCTTACCTCAGTTTATGAAAAACAGTAGTTAAGCCTTCGATCATGCTTATTTAGCTATAGGGTATATGCTAAAGGCTGAAAGAGATATGGCTGCCATTGTCGAGAAGCATAATAAGCTTTGAAGCATTAGACAATGTTAAATCAAACCTCAGTCTATCCCATAGAAATGAGGCTAAGTTGAAGAGAAAGGTAGATGAGCTGACAGTAAAGCTGAAGGTCATCTCGTTGGACAAGGTCTTAACTAAATTGATAAAAAAATGGGCCAAAGCTAAAAATAAATTATGCTCAGGTTGAAATTTCAAAGCTGAGGTCTAAGATGGAGGCTTAGGACAAAAGGAAAAAAGAGCTACAAATTGAGGCTGTGAAAGAATATAAAGCCTCTAATGAGTGTTTTCAGGTAAAGGTAAATTTTTCTAAAAAAAAATTCTTAGTGCCTTCTAACTAGCCAAAGATAAGGTATAGTTCAAATTCTTTTCTTTCAACCTCAATCTATCTAATATTGACATCAATAATATCATATCGAGGCTTTATTAGAATCACTCAGAGAAGATGAGAAGAGAAAAAAAAAGGATAAAGATGAGGCCTTAGAGAAAAAACTGAAGGTCATTATTAAAGACAGAAGAAGAAGATGTGAAGGTCGTCAAAATTGAGGTCGTCTCTTTTGCTCATACTAATGAGAGTACTTTTCCCATCGCTACTATTATTGATGAATGATTTTTGTAATTTTTTTAAATTTTGTAAACTTTTGACTTTGAAGTCAACTTTTTGTAAAAACCTCTTATATTCCAAAATGATTGCATCTTGTAATAAAGAAATAAAAAAGAAATTTTTTAAAGTTTTAGCTCGATTGTATCGTTATTTCTTTTTTACTTGTATAAATTTGAGAATAGTTAATGGATCGAAGGGCAAATAATTTAGACTGCTTGGATCAAACGAATATAGCTACTTATAATAAACCTTTAAGCTGTCTGTGTTTAACTTTCTTATGATGATGTTATCTTTTAGATTCTATAATTTTTATGTTACATCATGAATGACCTCTTTAACAATATATGGTCCTTCTCATATCGAGGCTAATTTGTCACCTCGGTTACCCCTGAGCTTCAACTTTTTTAAAAACCCAGTCACCTTTTTTTATATGTTTACGTCAAATTTTTTTATTATAATAATTGGCTACCTTTTGTTGGTAGGCTGTAATTCGAGTCAAGGCTATGTTTCTTTTTTCTTCAATGAAGTTGAGGTCGGCCCTAAGTACCTTTTAATTTTTTTTCTTCCAACACCAATTCAACTCTTAAGCTCAGCAGGCCAATCTCAACTGGCACTACGACCTTCATTCCAAATGCCAAGTGAAAGGAAGTTTTACTGATATGCACCTCCGTGGTTGTTTTTAGGGCCCAAAGAACTCCTAATAGCTTGTCAACCCATTTCTTTTTTACTGCATCAACCTTTTTTTTCAAGGCATTTAGTATTGTTTTATTTGCAGTTTCAGCCTACTCGTTAGATTGAGGGTGGGCAACTAATGTGAACCTGAGATTGATATGAAAATTTTAGCACCATTCCCTAAACCTCGGATTATTGAATTGTTTGCCATTGTCTGTTATTATAGACTAATGTAATCTAAATCTGTAGACTATATTTTTTCACATAAATTTCTCAACTTATGTTTTTGTGGTTGTGACCAAGGCTTTAGCTTCCAACTATTTTGTGAAGTAATCTACTGTCACTAAGACAAATCTTTTCTAACATGTGGTCAAGGT